TGCTATCATTACTCGGCGTAAAAATCCTGGAACTCTGTTCCGGAATTGCATAAGCATATTTTAGCCTTATATGTCCTCACTTAACGGGAAGAGGTTGGCATCCGTTAGAAGGTAAGTCTATAGACCACCACAAACGGGGCCCTATATAGCCGATGTTAAGCCGGGGTTTCGGGGGTACCGCGGCCTCGGCCTAAAGCAGGAGAAGGAACGGAGGTTTTTTGTCAGTAAGAGTCTGACATTCCATCTCGCCTCAACTTGGGCGAAAGTAGTTATTTGATGATTTTCCCCTTGTAATAAAAGGATGGGAATACTGACTAAGCGAATGTACTAAATTAAGTTGTAGACCTTAAGACTTTATGTTTGAGTACCATTTTTTATAAAAATTAGTTAAGTAGTTTCCATGTTTTTGGACCTTAAAGTTTGTATGAAAATCCGCGGCTCGTACATGCTCTTAATTGAAACGGCAACAAGACGCGATTCAGAAGTGAACTTTAAACTTATTTAACTTGTTCAGCATTTCCTGAAGACTTTGTAAACTTACTACTTACTTCACTTGACTTAAACTTACTTGAAATTAATACAACTACTAAAGGAAGTTCAGAACTTATGATCTTCCGTCTTGATATTTGCTCAAAACAGCATAAATCTACATTTTTGAATATTGTTTGAAATAGTATAGTAATATTCAAATTCGATTCGAAAATCATCAAATGACTTCTCCTGCCCAGGGTGAGGCGTGAATGATAGTCCCCTGCCTAGTGCCTTTTTACCCGTATGTAATTATAATGGTCATAGACAGGACCATAGTTTTCCATAGTTATCGCAATAATGCTCTTTTACACTTTAAGGATTCAGTTACACTTTTTGTCTATTACTGAATTCACTTTTGAACAAAAACATCTTCATACTTTTGTAAACCGTTTCATAACAAATACTGGTTAAATTAACTTCCCAGGAATAACTACTATACTATTTCCAGTGAACCTCTTTAGAACACAAAATCTAGTTCCGATCCAAACGATCCATAATTTAATAATCTTCCACCTATAATTAATGCTGAGCAAAGGCCTCTTTTCGCAGTGAGAAACGTTTGTTGAAGGCGAATTGGTAATTGAGACTCAGACTTGTAATCAGAAATTATAGCTCAGGTTTCCTCACCATGTTCTCGAAAAAATCACATTCGTACTTTCTAGGTTTCGAAGCGGCAGGCCCAGGCGGTCATGCCCGTCAAAAACAACTTCACAACATAAAATGAACAAGGAGTAAAGTACTAAAGGAAATTCAACCGCGTCCTTTGAAACCCAGGCTTTCTGCCCATCCTTTTAATCCTTTAAAACTGTCAAGTAAGCATTGTCTTGTGTTGCGCATTAATAATTGTCTGTTTAAGCATTAATCAGAGACAAAACATGATCGCATTATGAATTAAAGGCTTAATATTTCGACGCCATATTGAAATGGTGTTTTACCTATCATAAATTTGATAATGACAAACTGTGGCAACTCTTTTCATTTCACCTTTTTTTCTGAGAAATATCTTTATTAGGTTTTCTCAATTGTTGGCGGTGCTTTCAAAAACATACAAAGTTACATTACAGACCCGGACCAAAATATGTAGATCGCACAAAAAGCACGCCAGCCGGTGACCCAGCAATATCAATGCATAAAAGCGAAATTATTTAAAGTTTTTCGACAACTGTTCAAAAACCATTTTTTTAATACTTAGTACAGTTTCTAGACCTAAATCTACACTAGCGCCGGTACCAAAAAATCCGTGATTAAAATAATCTCCAGCGAAAGTAGCAATTATTTTAATGGAAACGCAAATTAAACATTTCAGTTTAAGCAATTAAGTCGCTTTATCTTTAAATGTTTGACTAAACGATTTAATTATTTTAAGCGGTATGTTATACATATACATAATTAAAAGTTATTGCGCTTGATGCGCTCTTTTTAATAGATACAGTTATTGAAAAAAAATTTTTATATGTATAATAACATCTGTGCGAAGTCGGTGCGGGTCGTTGGTGATTTATAAAAGAAGAAAGCAAAAAAAGCAAAATCCAAAAAAAAACCTCATCACATAACATAAATTTGAAAAACAGCTACGTTTACCGAATGTTCGAAAAGTATGAACCGAATTATGTTCTCCGAAATATTTTCTCTTTATCATGAAGTGGCGTTTTCACGTAAAAATATTCCTTTGTTTGAACTTTCCCTTATTATCTGATACAAAATATACAATATACAAGACCCCAATAATAAAAATATGATGGAACAAAGATCCTAATAAAATGGAAGATTCCTTTTTATACGTAACCAACTATTTTATACACGCAGCCATATTTTTAAGACGTGAATTTGAAAGCGAAATGGTGTATAGACAGAATAGGGATGATGGTATTTCTTTTTAGTTTTTATTTTACAGGATAAAGTCCTAATGTGGCTTACGTTTAAATTATATTACGTAGATTTGCTTTTCAACGGTTTAAAATACTTTCGATGTTATATTAATTTGAAAAATCTTGATTACGTTTCTGTGATAAAATAAGTGCTTTCGTTGCTTGTCTCCTTGTGTTAATAGATTAAATAGTGTGTGAAACAACACAAAGCTAAGGATAGTTTTTTTTTAACTTGATATAAACTAGTGCTTGACTGCGATCCCACCTGATGGTAAACAGTGATGCAATCATTGATGGTAAGGCGCACTAGTTTATTAAGAGCCTATTCACTCTAGCCTTAGCAAGGGTATGAAAAATCTGAGGTCACGTAAAAAATATATTTTACTGCACGGTTGACAATGTTGTTCAATGGCTGGGCAATGTATCACGATTTGGAATCCAGTACGGATCAACTATTTTTGCGATCCACAAATCGTTTTTCCAAGTCTGGATGTGATACATAAATATTATGTATGTGAAATTATATGTTTGTAAACGCCCCCACGGCAAAGAAGAAAATGATGGTGCGAGGCAACGTTTTAAAAAAAAAACACGACGCCATCATTATTAGTTTTCCATATAAAATCTAAATTACCTAACTAAAGAAATACCTACGTAATAGTGCATATTGTATTCTACAATTTGAATACAAAAGTAACATAGTGAAGATGCTTTGTAAAAATGTTTCGAAAGACGGCGAGCTCTAGTGTACCAAGTAGGGTGACCATCGGAAATAGTTTAAAGTTCCCATAGTCAAACCGCTACACCGGTTCTTTGGAAGTTTTTTTAAAAAGTAAAGTAAAAGTAAGTATAATATCTATTTTATAATAAATAAGTAAATAAGATATTGAATTGCTTTTTGATTACCGTAATCTAAGTTGACATAATTACACTGACACTGTCTTCTATTAATGTAATTTTTTTTTTTTATCTATAATACCTAAATATGTTGTAAATTTATATTTGCATGCATCCAAATCTTATTGAATTATTCATATTTCTGTCTCTGTCTCTGTCTCTGTCTCTGTCTCTGTCTCTGTCTCTGTCTCTGTCTCTGTCTCTGTCTCTGTCTCTGTCTCTGTCTCTGTCTCTGTCTCTGTCTCTGTCTCTGTCTCTGTCTCTGTCTCTGTCTCTGTCTCTGTCTCTGTCTCTGTCTCTGTCTCTGTCTCTGTCTCTGTCTCTGTCTCTGTCTCTGTCTCTGTCTCTGTCTCTGTCTCTGTCTCTGTCTCTGTCTCTGTCTCTGTCTCTGTCTCTGTCTCTGTCTCTGTCTCTGTCTCTGTCTCTGTCTCTGTCTCTGTCTCTGTCTCTGTCTCTGTCTCTGTCTCTGTCTCTGTCTCTGTCTCTGTCTCTGTCTCTGTCTCTGTCTCTGTCTCTGTCTCTGTCTCTGTCTCTGTCTCTGTCTCTGTCTCTGTCTCTGTCTCTGTCTCTGTCTCTCTCTCTGTCTCTATCTCTATCTCTATCTTTATCTATAACTTTAACTTCATTTAATTCACCGTTAAACCACATATTATAATCTAAATCAAGATTTAAACATAACATACATAACCTTGATGACCTCAAGGGGTACAAAATAACCAATTCCATTAAAAAAAAGAAATATCACGGACTTGCCTAAAGCTTCGTTGACCGTGCCAAAATTAAATGTCTCTAGAATGTTTTTCTAAAAGTTAATTAACTTTTTTAATTAAAAAACGGAAGAATTCGTTACGAATGGATTTCTGAAGCTATCGAACAGTATTAGGGGATCGACAAGACCTGAGTGCGTAAGCAAATTGTTTATATTGACGGCACGAACCAATGTTTCCTGTTTACACTTAAAATAGGTAAAAAAAATTTGATGTAAAAAGTATATAAAACTGTGCTTTATGCACTTGCCAAATATTTTTTACATTTAGTCCACGTACCCTGATGTCACAATCAAACTATTCTTTGGTATGTCTGTCAATGAATAGACGCTTTTTTGTGAGGGGTAAATCATCAAATGTTTTCTCTCGCCCAGGGCGAGGTGAAAGTGGGGAATGTCATCCAAAACTCCCTCTTCCTTATTCTGCTCTAGGCTGAGGCCGAAATCCATAGTAAAGTTTGTGTAGAACATGTAAAATCACACAATTCAAAAAAGGAAATGTCCTTAACTCTCTCTATAAAGGAAGGTCTCCCTAACCGGACAGGGTTGTTGATGCGAGAATATTGTTAGAACAGGTATTCCAAGCTTGTGTTGGACAATGGGCCGTGTTACGTCACGCGCCGACCTAAACTGTCTAGTTTGTTTCTATTTCAAGATATTCCTCAGCTTCATACACATACATATGCAGGAATAAGTTTCTCACAGGCCATTTTTGAGTTTTGCACTTTCATTAATACTGGTACCTACCGTTCATCCCAATTCTCACTTGCACGGAATTTGAAATGGAAATTGATTAGCTACATTAGTTACAACTTTTTTTACAATATCACAGATAAATCTATTGGATATTAGTTCTTCGAGTTTTACGCACTGAAGGTTACCTTACGTCACTGGAAAAATATTCATAAAGAGGTTGCTTGTAAAAGATCAGATTTTATGTGACTGACCGAAAAAAAAATGTTTTTGCTAATTGTCAAAAACTGTGAAAATTTTGACATTTTTGTACATTCGACATTGTTCCGGTATTTCACAAAAAAAAATTAATGGCTAATTCTCGTATTCATAAGTGTGTTCTTTACTTTAAATTATTATTTAATCCCATATCAAAATCAAGGTCGCCAAAGCTTCTGTCACTAGAAATTAGTAACGTTCCTCGGAGACACTATGCGAAGTGCCCACCGTTGGGAGGAGGGGGAGCAGGAGGGGGGTCCAAAAAGCAGATTGATCCGCGAAGAATATTCAAAGTCTATAGATATGGAGGCATAGCCACAAAAGAAGTTCCAAAGATGCAAACCTTCGAACTTGACGTCTCTAAATGCGGTCCGATGCTTCTTGATGCAATGATCAAACTCAAAGATATGGATCCGACATTCAGCTTTAGAAGATCCTGTCGAGAAGGTATCTGTGGATCGTGCGCCGTTTGTCTCCAAGGTAAAAATTGCTTGGCATGTATTACAGCGATACCACAAGCTAAAACCATTACTATTCACCCCATACCGCACATGTATGTCATCAGAGATCTGGTGGTGGATATGACCCACTTTTTGAATCAGTACAGCACAATCCGACCATATCTTATAAGGAAGAGTACGCCTCGTAGTATGGGACAGTTCCAATACGCTCAAAGCGATGAAGATTGGCACAAGTTCGTGGGGTTGTATGAGTGTGTGTTATGTGCATGTTGTGCAACTTCTTGCCCTAGCTATTGGTGGAACGGGCGCAGATTCCTTGGGCCGGCCTCATTACTCCACGCCTACCGATGGGTGATTGACTCCAGAGATGAAGATAGTGTGAACCGTCTATGCGAACTACGGGATGACTTCAAAGCATTCCGCTGTCACACGATCTTAAATTGTGTTTTGGCGTGTCCCAAAGGACTGAACCCAGGGTTGGCTATAGCTAGACTAAAACGCCTTATCACTGGATTAGACAAGAAACAAGTACCAGGTATGGATCCCTTGAAATTGAGTGGTGGCGGTGGTGGTGGCGGGACATCTAGTTTAGAGTCTTGTATCCAATCAAAATCTGGTAAATAATTATAAATCTTGTTTAAAAAGTTTAGTTGTTTGATGAAGATATTATATATTTGGGATATTTTTGTACCTCTTGTTTTATTTCACTATGATGACTCTAGTAGCGGACTGAAAATTCAATTATATTGCACAATAGCTTTTTGTACTAAGACATATTACTGTGAATGTCGGATTTAGAAAAAAGTTCATCGTCCTAAGCAACCTTCGTAAGCAATAATGTGAACTTGGCCTTGAATATGAAAGCAACTTCTCATAGCTAGGAACTCATCCATCAGTCCCCAACACGATTAATCATATGAATATTGATTCTACATGACGCCACAAGCTGTACTCACAGCAAACGACTCCCAGACGAATTTATGCTCTAAACGTCTTATTACACGGTTTCTATTCTTCTGCTATCTTTTAAATTATTATGTGAACCTTATGTACATTAGAAATAGGACTGTTTTTCTATATCACTGCTTTTATGAAAAATAGGAACACCTTAATTCTTTTGGGGGTTGGCATTTTATTGATTGTTCTTTTACACGTGTACATATCATGATCAAAAATATTCAGCAAAGCCATTTTAAGGTCATAGATATAGTTACGTTCAAACCGATGGTGTACATACATACATACCTTACAAGCCAGTAACAGTCCATTGTTGGACTACGTGAAAGAGGGAGTTTGCCATAGTCACAACCCTTGTCTGGCGGGTAAATAGATCATAATTTAAAAGGTAAGTTACATCAGTAAACGCTGCTAAAGTAGTTGGATCTTTGGCATCCACCAGAGGGTTAGGAGTAAATATCAGCTACACACACTGGAGAACATTGAGAGGCCTACCAAGAGACTCATCAACGACGATGCACTAGTGGCCCAACTTCAAGGTCTCAAACACAGGCGCAGTTTTATTTTGTGATAGTTCGGAAAACGATCATACGGATTACCTGATGGTAAGCAATCAGCGCCGCCCATGGACACCTGCAACGACAGAGCAGAGACGAGTGCGTTGCCTACCTTTTGGAGATTTAGGGATTGGGGCAGGGGAAGGATTTGGGCCTCTGGTAACCCGTGGTTGTTTCACGCCGGTTTTCTGTGAGGCCGTGGTATCACTTCGGTCGAGCCGACCCATTCCTGCCGAAGCATGGCTCTCCCACACTTAAAGTTGCAGGTCTTTTGGGTTTTCACCTTATACATTATATTCGGAGAGTATGTGGGTAATTGTGCAACTTGATCCCCATCATAGGATACCACCAAGCAATATGCAAAACGTCACCACTTCAACGTCGATGTCCCACCTACACGCATAAAGCGGATTCACCTCCAGTTTTTTTACCAGAACTGCTAAGAAATGGAATTCTTTGCCGGAGACTGTGTTCTCCGAAAGACATGTTCTCCCGTTTGACCAACGGCACTTCGCTCCATATAATTAAAAAAATTCATCTAGAGTAAAATAAATGACTGACACAGAGATCCCTGCAAAGGGCATGTCGCGCTAGTATGTGTACGAAATAAAATATGAATCACCTTTGTAACACAAATCCCACACGATGAAATTGCCACTTTGAAAATGAATGAATTTTTCAAAGTCAAATGCGACCGCCGCACTGCTTTCTGTAGTGATTTTTTGCGGCATATGTCGGCAAATAAGATGGATTACCTGATGGTAAGCAATCGGCGGTGCCCGTGGACACTTGTAATTTCAAAGGAGTTACTAAATGTTGCGATCTCTTCTGACTTAGTCAGGGTTAGGCTTAGATAGGGGATTTTTTTTGTCAGGGGAAAATCATCCAATGACTTCTCCAGCCCAGGGTAAGGCAAGAGAGAGGGCCGAGGTCGCGGTGTCTCATCGCGCTTACCCCGCAACCTCGGCTGAACATCAGCCCTGTTGGCCCCGTCTGTAGTGATCTATTGGCTCTTTGAGGCACGCGCGGAACGCTACGCGCAGTACGCTCGGGTCTGATTCTGGTCAGGCGGTGAACTACCCTGAGAACACGGCGGTGCTCAGCCCAAGCAGGGCACTCCGCCACCGTATGCTCCACCGTGTCCTCTAGGTGGTCCTCACGATGACAACACTCGGGCGTTTCCTCCCGCTGGATTCGAAACAGGAACCTACCGAAACTGCCGTGCCCGGTAAGCACCTGCGTTAGGTGGAAGGTGAGGACGCCGTGGCGTCTCTTAAGCCAATCCTCAAAGCGGGGTCTTACCGCTGCTATAGTAGCGTGCCCGGCCCTCGGTTGCGACAGTCGCTGCTTCCACTTAGAAGGATAGGGGATTTGAGGATTGAGGATAGAAGGGAAGGCCCTTGCCTCTGGTAATCTCACTCAGACGGCGGAACACAACGGAAGTGTTGCCTCACGCTTATATTTTATGTAGGTGTTATATCACTACGGTCGAGCCGATCCATTCATTCCGAAGCATTGCTCTCCCACTTCACTTGTATTTGAAATGAAATGTACATGAAACAAATGATGATGTCTATCTGTCTGTAAGGTAGAAGAAATAGTAACATGTTTCGTCCATATAAAGCACTTGGTGTCTACAATGCCTACTAAAAACAAGCGTACTCATTTAAGTTGTCGCTTAATTTAATATAGAAAACGGAATGTATGAAAATATACTCGTGAAATATTCAAAGGCTTTGAGGCTTATGTTCTACAGCAAAAGGTTGTATTTCCTTAATTAAAGTTAATTTAATTTGATATTTTTTGGGGGTACGGTAGTGCTGCCGCCAAGTAGACTTAAAACTGATGTTTTAAAGTATTTTAACTTATCGTCACTGACAACTTCCTAATCATATCTTACTCTTACTAATATTATAAATGCGAAAGTTACGATGTTTGGATGTTTATTGCACAATGACGCCAAACCCGCTGGACGGATCTGGATGACATTTAGCACAGGCATAGTATACACTCCGAAATAGGACATAGGCTACATACCACGCGAGTGAAGCCTCAGGCAGAAGCTAGTTAAGCATAATAATAAAAAAACACAAAAATAAAAAATTGGTATTTTTTGGTATCAGTATCAATCACTTATCATCCCCTGGTAGTTATTTTGAAAGTAAATTTAATGTACAGAATTGACCTCTGTCTCTGTCTGATACTATTAGTTAAGCAACGGGTTTTCATAGTTTTCAATTTTGCAATACCTTTAATCAATACTTCTGTAGTAGTTTCCCACAAAATAAATTATTTTACATTTTTGATAGGAGCAGGATCATTTAATCACTTCTCTGCTGCAGGATGAAGCGAGAGGAAGTGTCGGATTCTCACTGACTAACCCCCCCCCCCCTTCCTTCTCCTACTACGGGCCAAGGCCGCGGTACCTTATAGCGCTTGCCCCGAAACAAATTATTTTTTTGAGTTCAATCAAGTAAAATTTATCTAATAATTCAAAGGAAAATAGTTCTGAGACCCTTGTACTTACATCCTACATTCGTAGAAAACAATTTTAGCTGGAAAAAGGCCAAAAGAAAAACCTACCAATTTTGTCAAACTTGGCAACCTCCACATGCAGATATTGAATAACAAATTTTATTTAAACTGCATTTAAGTTCTAATTAGCACTCGACATGTGACAGAATATTATAATTTAATTTTAAATTCAGTTTTATTAATAAAGTTGCAGGGCATTCATTTTCAGAGAGGAAAGCTGAACTGGAATAAAGTTAAAGTCAGACAAGCTGGAGAGGTTTTTGCAAACAAAGCTTCAAAATGTGGTTTTACAATTTCATTTTGACATGTAACTAATTTCTCACCGTTCGCCTGTTTTAACTATATCTGGTAAATAAGTACTTATTGGCTTAACATAATACAATAAAATGTATTTTGATGTACTGGCTCACGTGACTAACACGTGGTTTCACCCGGTAACATTGGTATTCTATTGGTCGGAAGTCTTAGCGTCATGTATATATAGCCCGACAAAGGGACCGACCAACTGAAAAATCTTGGTTAAATTTGGACCAGTAGTTTCGAAAATTCTCGTGTCCAAGCAAACCACCAAACTCATTGCCTTATATTATTAGAACAGATTTTCTATAATATAAGAACATATTTATACTATCTATAATTTACAACTACGAGTTTAAAATAGAATAGGTTTGGTAAAAAAGAAAACAACTTATTTTTAGTTTTACTGTTTTTTTTTAACAAATGCTATAATATTCGATGTGGCCTTGTGTGTGCCTAGTGTGTAATGAATTAAATTTATTTCGTATTTTTTCCTTTCAGAATTAAAATGCACTCATCCATCGAGGAGCATGACAGTGCCTGCCTAGTCGTTAATGTGACTACATCTCATAAACATTTTCAAAATTATTTTAAAACTTCAATAGAGCAACAAACAAGCACAATCAAACATCCGTCATAAGAAACCTATTTACCTTAAAACATACATATAGTTTGACAGTAAATATGAATTAATTGATATGAACAAGTAACACGTACATATATAGCGTATCTCATAGGATTACGCACGTAACAGATTAGGTGTACATTTATACACTAAACGAACGGTGTGTGCCTCGGAGAATCCTCTAACGCGAAACGTGCAAGACATTCTTGACACTTCGTGATTCAACAGATAATTGGTAGAAGGTTCAGACGGATTCAATTCCCGATAAAATATTTATTCACCAGATTTGGTTCTGGTTATAGAACGGAATTTGAATGAACTGTGTGGCACGAAGCAAAAATCTTATAAAAGATCCCTATACGTTTTGAGTCCGGTCATTATCATGGTAACTTTATGAGGGCAAGTCTCACAGCCCAAAGGTCACACAGAGCGAGCGAGATCGAATTCGCAACAGTGGCAGATAGCCAACAGACAACCACACATGGGTCCCTACAGGGCCCATGTTCAGCCGAGGTTTTCCTAAAGGACAAGACAATATAAATGTATAATTCCATAAATAAATACTTGTTATTTAATATTATTATTCTGAAAACTGCTGTTTGTTTGAGCGAACTAATCTCCGGAACTAATAAAACGTATTTTTATAATGTGTA